CCGCCCCAAAAAAAAGAAGAAAAATCTTTGATTTCCTTTCCATTCACATTTTCTTTTTCTTTTGTTTTTGTTTGTTTTTTTTTTAATTTATCTTCAAAATGTTTTCCAATAATTCGAGGTATATATTCGTCTCAATACAATTTTAATAATTTAATATTATTATATATAATTGTACAATTCAATTACGACATTTACAATGTACACAAGCTGTTTATTTTTTTTTTTTTTTGTTTTTTTTTTTTGGAATATTTCAAATTATGCGAATGTGTTAAAAATAAATGTACAAAATTTAATTAAAAAAAAAAAGAAACAAACTATATATATATACATATATATTGGGATCTCTGGCAGGAGCGGCGTGGGGCGTAGCAATTTGACCTATCTACTCTAGTTATAAATTTAGCCACCAGATAGCGTATTCAAGTGCTAGAGATCCCAATATGTATTATAGTAATAACTCACCGATACCGTTGATAAGTATACAAGGAAGTATAAGATTAAATACGTAAAACATGGATCTACGTCTTAAACGTATCTCATAAGTGATATCCGGATATGGTTCTGTACAACAAGAATAATATTCCACGTTTTTTCTTGCAGAAAAATCAACAAGATCAAATTCACCATTTGCCTGATAATTACTTATGTCACCTTTTTTACTTTGTTCCTCTAATTCGATCTGAAACAATGTTAACAAAGGACAAACAATTACTTTCAATATTAAAAGGGGGATTGAAAAGTAATGGCGTCGTTACTACGCATGTCAAATTATGTCTAATATTTCAAATCAAATAAATGATTGATGATTTTTATCGTTTAACAATTTTACATACCAGAAAGAAAAAGAGATCGATTAATTAATTGATTAATAATTAAAACTCTTGCTTGAATTTTCAGGTTAAAAAGTGACATTACTTTTGCGGTTCACTTAATAATAGTACTAGAAAAAAAAAACAAAAGTAATAGGATTCAAATTTATACCACAGCGGTGAAGGGGGCAAGGGGGGAGGGGGGTTACTATATCTCTAGTTGGCTTTTTCAATCTTCATTTTTTCTTTTTCTTTTTTTCTCCCCGTTTAAATCTAATTATTAATTCGATCACACTTCGCCGTTAGCGGTAGGGGGCGGGGGGTGCAGGGAAGGAAGAGGGGCGGGGGCAGGTTGGTTGCAGAGAATTATGCGTCGTGAAAAATGGCTTCAATTGAAGAAGATTGGAAAGTAGGATAGGAAAAGGAAAAGAAGAAGTAGAAGAAGAAGAAGAAGAAGAAGAAGAAATAGTAGGATGAAGGAGGAACAGGAGGGGAGGAAAAGAAGAGTTGAAAAGAGATAGAAAGGGTGAACTGGGAATTGGGAGGAAAAGAGAGTCAGAGAGAGAGAGAGAGAGAGAGAGAGAGAGAGAGCTCACCAATTGAGGAGGGAGTAAATCTGGGCTCGCATTGAATTCTTCTTCCATACAGGATTAAGCCCTTCGATCTGCCCGGAACCCTTTTCGACTGACGCGACGAACTAACACATTTTTCGATTTACTTCTCTCAAATGATTTACCCGATCGTACCAAAGACATCGATCCTAACATTCATAGTTAACAAACTACTATACACAACACAAAATGGGGAATGATGATGGTGGTACTCATGTTTTTCAATCTGTTTTTATGATATACCATAATTTCATATTAAAGATATCAATTTATACAGGATTTTTTTGTTGTCCCGTTTATGAAAAAACAAGTATTTATTGTTAATGATATAAATTGTGTATCATCGTTTTAATGAAATGTATTCTAATCTTTGTTATTAATTAGTGTATGATATGAGAGAGTAATAGTGATAAAAGAATAGACGATTATTTTAGAAATAATTGTTGAAATAAAATTGAGCACGTTTTAACAAACTACAGTAAAAACTTAACATGCTGTTAAATTATACAATAGGGTTCTTTGACTATGTAAGTTCTTTAACGACTATGTTGATTTTACTTCGGAAAACTGTTAGTCAAAGTAAATTGAGAGTTTGCAAATGTAATTTAAGCTAACAAGATTGTGTTCCTTGATGATAAGATAAAAACACGGAATGTCTTAAAACTATTTTAACCAGTTATATTAAAATATATATATATGTATATATATATATCAAGATCTATTTGTTCTATTTTAATCAAATTTAAATAATATCTACAGCTGATCGCAGTTATTCGTCGAGAAATACAATGTGGTATTTTAAATACAACATCGTAAATATTAACAAGTTGGTTTTTTTTTGTCTTTTTTTCATCAATTCATGGTTAAAGTTAATTGCACGGAAAAATCCACAGGGACTTTTCTGGGGTAGTTTTACTACGTTCCGAATTTTTTTTCTCTTTCTTTTCTATTTTTATCTTTTTTCTTTTTGTTGGTCTGTTCCGTCGAACAATAAGTCGCTAAAGATGGTGGAAATTCACGGAAGAAATATTCCCAAGCGTATTTTTTCTTTGTGTTGTTAAATTCGTAATATCCAAAATTGTTCACAAATAAAACTAATCAAATTTTATTCAATTGCAGATTATTAAAATTAGACGTATCATAGAAAAAAATGTTGTTCTATATTAGATTACTTTTCATTACTGATTTAAAAAATATATAAAAATAATAAATACCTGATATCCATCGTAAGTCCAAGAGGCCCACTTCAAGGCACACCTTTGTTCATCGAAAGGAAAAAATTCAACATCGATATCGCAACTGCTACGAAAAATACCATGACTTAACCATACCACTTCTCCTGTATGATTGACAATCACGTTTGTATTTATTATCGATGAACTATACTGCGGATCTGCGCTGTACAAAAATATTTAATAATATATAATATATATATATATATGTATATAATTTAAATTAATTAGTTAGATCATCCTATTAGTTTTTTTTTTTTAATTTTATTAACCCTTCGAGTGCTGAATACTTTTAATTAAAATGTTTTGTAAGAACGGAATAATTTATCTTAATATACATAAATTACGTGTCACGTTGTTTGTCCGCAATGGATTTCTAAACTACTGAACTGATTTGAATAAAATTTTGCACACTTTGTACAGTTTCATCCAACTTGAAAGATAGGATAGTTTATATCTCAATTTATAATCGAATTATTTGTTCATTAACAAAGAGTCATGATTATCTCTGTTAGTTCGATAAGATTTTAACAGATGGTGGTATAAGGTAATTCGTTGACTTAAAGACGTGTGTATCGGACTGATTGTGACACCCTTAGTTATTTTATATTAATATTAACAAACACGTACATATGCGTTTATAAACAACTCTGGTAATTTTTACCAAACACCACTCTAAAGGTTAATAAACATATATTTTACCTATTTTAACATATTTAATGAAATTTCAAATTTACATTAATTAAATATCAATATTCGACTATACAGTAGAAAAAAAGGAAGAAAACAAAATCTGAACACATGCTTACTTGTTATAAAGTATAGTATCAGGTCTCCAAACACGATTGTATGGTACACGAATAACTTGAATTCCAGCAAATTCGGAGGTGTTCCATTTCAAATGGTGATCGGTCCAGACTTGTGTGACCCAACAATTAGTCGTTAATATTTGATTTTTTTCATCCTACCAATCAAATAGATTAATTAATATTAATTATCGATTATAATATGATCATCGATATTGTTATTTATATAATTTCATTAATAATAATATATTAATCAGATTAATAGCGTAAGAGGTAGTAATATCATACCCACTATTATAAACTCTTTATATTTATTTATTTATTTATAAACATATAGAATATTTATTGTTCAAAGAATTGTCATGATTTTACACTTACCACATCGATGATATGATGAAGTGCAAGACCAAAGACAACGGTCAAAGGTTCGGATGAATTTTTAGCTGGTCTCACAGCAGCATCGTATCCATCCAACAAGTGTTTTGTCAATTTGTATTCGTTTTCATCACAGAAACCTGAAAAAAAAAAACAAAATTACATTCAAATGTATTACGATTCAATATAATTCATTTTAATAATTATTTAAATGTAATACATGTGATATTACAAAACAGTGTTGTTCAAAAGTTAATATCATCATCATCAAATATTAAGTAATTTTATATCAATTAAATTGTAATTCTTGAAAAAAGTAAAACAAGTACATTCATTTAATTAACGTAGAATTTAATTTTCAATTTAATTAAATAGCTGATTAAATGTCTATCAAAGATTTGTTATTAATTCATTTTCTTCTTGATTAAATCATCAATAATTGTTTCCATTCATTTTAACATTATCATGAATTTTCGTTCACGTTTTTTTTTTTTCTCTTTCAAATCACATTCCCATTTTAAAGAAATTGTCATTTCAATAAAATTAGATAGATCATTGAGAGTGTCAATCATATAATATTATACAAATTAGAAATACACATATATATATATATATATATACAGGTAGGATAAATATCTTCTGACATGATATCGAAGAACCGACAGAGAAGTATCGTTTGAAAAAAAATGACGGACACAGTCGAAGGGAACATCGGTCGTTTCCACAGCGAAATATTTTTACGTTCGAGACGTCCTTCGAATGTGATAGATGTTTCTCGCATCGATTCGCGCGACAAATTGCATTTCGTGAAATACATACAGGTATATGTATATATATATATATATATACATGTATATGTATATAACTTTTTTACTCTGTACAGTGTATCCTATATATCATATAAATATTGAATGGTTTTTTTTTGAACACCCTATATATAAATCGTATATAATAACTATTCTAATATAAGTAAAATGCATTAAAATATTCAAATAATTATTAATTAATCGATGGGAATGTGTATTGATGTTTAAAAGCTCGAATTGTATGATCGAAGTACCGTCCTCTTCGAAATTCACCTTCAGACTGGGGGTTCATTGCTCTCTGTTCAAATTCTTTCATTAAATGTTGTTTACATATTATTCCGAACGCTACACATGTCCATAATAGAAATAATATTCATAATAGATAAAATTGTTCCTTTTCTGAAAAGTTTTATAAACAACATTAAATATAAGAAACTTCATAAAGAACAATGTATCAGTCTAACGATGAATTTCAAGGAATAAGATACTCCGATCATATTTTGGGTGTTTTTAAATAACAATATACATTATTTTCAATTAATTAATAATTATATTTACAGTACATCGAACACAGTATTTTACTTTATTAATATTTGTAATTGTTTTAAGCTGAATTATACATATTTGTTTTATTGTTACTGCACAGTGATGATTTCGAGGGTTAAAGTATGTTGTAATATGAGAAGAGAGTGTATTAGAATATCAAAATAATTGTTAATTAATTAATATGAATGTGTATTGTTGTTAAAAAGTTCAAATTATATGATCGGAGTACCGTCCTATTTTGAAATTCATCTTCAGACTGACTCGTTAGTCTGAAGGTGAATTTCGAAGAGGACAGTAGTCCGATCATATTCTAGGTGTTTTCAGGTAACAAAACACATTCTTTTTGATTAATTAATAATTATTGAAATTCTCTAATGTACTGTACTTATATTAGAAGAGTTAAAATGTACGAAATCATATACAAGGTGTTCAAAAGAATCATTCAATCTTTTCTATGGTATATAGGATACACTGTACTAAATAAAAAACATATATGTAAAGAATATTTTGATGCACATATACGTGTATATACATAAGGCGTCAATAAGTATATATATATATATATTATATATTGTAACGTCATAAAAAAAAAATTAAAAAAAAATAAATATTATCAGTTATATATTTGAAAATATTATTATACATAAAGAAGATTAAAAATTACTATCTATTTTATTTGTATCTTCATTTTATATATAGGATGAGTATCGTTTTACTTAATATATATTATCTCATCTCCAATTAACGAGATATCTGATAACCAATAAGCGAGAGGTTATAATAAATGTTTCACCTACACACAAATCTTTGCAAATAATAACACGAATTTATGACAGACATAAAGAATTTTTTTTTATAGTCATTATCGTTAAATTTGTTGTTTTTCTTTTTTTTTTATTATTTTTTTTTTCGTAATTATCTTTTCAATTATATTTTTATTTATTAATCATTATTATCTAGATTATATTTCACACACCACAAGTATATTATCTATTATATTATTTATCTAGAGAATACGAGAAAATTTTCGATAATATTTTACGTATGATAATAGCCAGCCAGCCAGCCCGTTGTTTTTGATCCTTTGGGAATGAAAATGATAAATAAATAAAAAAAAAAAAATCAGAATAAACAGCAAGGATAACAAGATAATAAAAAAAAAAAAAACAAACAAATGAAAAATATCATCCATATTATCAATCTTATTCTGATTTAGACAAATTGTCTGTTACAAATGATCGTTGGTAGAAAAAATGAAAAAAAAAAAAAAATGAAAAAAAATGGTTTGAAGATGCTAATATGGTATACGATAATATATAACAACGCTGACTAAATTATTCTAATTTTGCTGATAAATTTTCAACGATCTGATATATAAATAATATAAAAAATATTTTTAAAATATCTATCATTTTATTTACGAAAGATTTATCCTATATCTAAACTTTTCTATTCGATAAATAGAAAATCGATGATGAATGATTGGAAATCGAATAAATGAACGTTACAATTTCGAACGAAAATTCTTCAATTATTTCAACGGTGAATATAGAGAAGGAGGGAAGGAAGGGGTGGGGTGGGGGAGGGGAAGGGCTGGGAGGAGAAGGAAGGGAGTGGGGCAGGGCAGCAAGCAGAAGAATGAAGAGTAGTGGGCAGAGAAATTTGTGGAACACGAAACTCATTTACAACTCGATCAAATGCGATAATATTCTTGCAGGAAATCCTGTCGAGTTGAACGATCGAGTTTAACGGGGCATAGTCAGTAGAAATGAGCTTTCAATCGGAGATCGAACATGTCTTACAATCGATCTTGTTATACAATATGGTTCTTCGATATTCCAAAACTTCTATAGATTTGTAATGAACAAAAGAACCATTTTATTTGAAATCTAATTGTATAATTTCATTTTTTTAAGTAGTTTTAATTCCAATAATTATATTATATATATATATATATCTCTTAATATATATAAATTACGTGTCACGTTGTTTGTTCGCAATGGACTGTTAAACTACTGAACTGATTTGAATAAAATTTTGCACACTGTATGCAGTTTCATCCAACTTGAAAGATAGGATAGTTTATATTTCAATTTATAATCGTAATATTATTTTATTGCGAATTATTTGTTTATTAATTCAAGACGTGTGTATCGGGCTGATTGTGAACCCTAGCAACGTGTAACGGGGCACCCCTAGTTATATATATATATATATAATTGAATTATTATATTGAATCTATATTTTACTATTCTATATCTATATCTATGTTTATTATTTATTATATTATATATATATATATATATATATATATATATATATATATTTTATTATATTTATTATTATTTTAATCATTTATAAAAAAAAAAAAATGATTAAGAGAAGTAATGTGAAAATATTTAAATATCCCGCTTAAAATGTAAGTGATCACGGTGTCACGTGATTTCGTGCGTAAAACGCGCCATTTTAAAAATTATACAAAACATACAAGTTGTATTACATGTTTTTTTCTTATTTTTTGATTGTTTAAGTCAGAACCAACGAAAATCCGCATTACTTACACTTAAAAATTTTTGTTTGACGAATCTTTTGAAAACGTTATTTAAAGTACAATAAAAGTTTCAAGCTAAAAGAAAAAATATGAAGTTTTATCAATATGGGTAGTTTTAAATGAACGAAGAACGTTCATGAAAAACACAGATAAAGAGAATGTGAGCTTTTTGAATGAAAGCTCGTCGAAAGAATGATTATAACAAAAAAAAAAGAGATTTCAACGAATCGAATAATTCACTTCGATTCAATCGAAAAATTAGGGAATATTTTCTTTTTTTTTTTTAACCTTTTTTTATTCGTAAGTCTTCTTATAACACATGAATGTGTCAGAAATTGACTCTAGTAAAATTGATGCATAAGTGAAAATATATATTTTTTTTTTTTAATTAAAAGAGAATGATCAAATTTATTACACAATTATATTATATATACAGAGTGTCCTAAAAATTATTTAATTAAATTTACAAAATTGTTCATTTCTTTTCGACACTTGTATATTTGAAATGACGATATCGTAAATCAATATACGTTTTATATATAACAATACTATAACTACAGTTATATATATATATATATATATATTATTATTATTATTATTATGATATAACAATTTGATTATATTATCGTAAAATAAAAATAAAATAATTTTAATTTTATTAGAAAAAAAAAAAAAAATCAAAACCATTTTTTCGTGTTATACTTTTCTTTTTTTTTAATTCGATTAAAAACAAATTTTAGGACACACTGTATATCGTTACCATAATAAAATATCGAAATTGATGAGAGAGAGAGTCTTGGTAATAATTGAAGCAAAAAATAAAAATGATCGAACGGTTAGATAAAATGGGATATGAAAAAAACATTAAAGAAAGATTATGCTCTTATATATATATATATATATATATATATATATA